AAATTCTTGTTTTTAACTGAATATATGAATGAGTGTAGGGTTCCAAAAAGGAGCAGGTATAACTCCCTTATAAGCCCCTACATTCTCTGCCTGGGCTTAGACCACATACCCCAGGCGATTCTCCATCCAACCTCTGCTTTCACTCTTAGCCCTGCCCCCACCCTCATGCACACTTCACATTCACTTGCCTTCTTGCCCTCACTCTTGCAGGCTTGGGCCCTCATGCCAGCCAGTGCTCAGAATTCTGCTATGCTTGCATACTCAGTCCACCTGTACATGTGTACACAGTGATGTGCCTTTTAGTACATGCACTTTTTGCACATTTTTGCTTGTTCATTTCCCACCTCATATGAAATGTCTTTATAGTTTTATATCCTTTTCCAATTTATCTTCCTTTTCCCTCCTTTAAAAAGGAAATCGTTTTAATGTAATTCCTTATTCCTTTCCTTCCTTTGTAGCTTCTGGCCCCCCTCCTTCTCTCTAGCCTTGTGTACACTGATGGCTGGTGCTTCCAAAGGGAGCTTCCAAAGGGAGGAGGAGGGTGGATATGGGTGCTGGTGAAGCAGACTACAGCAGGGGTAAACTAGTTAAAAGTCTTTTCTTGGAATTTGCATTGATGTGCAGCAAAATGCTGACCCTGGTGATTTGTGAGCCTTCCAGTCTTATTCCCAACAATCCCATCTGTGGGAGTCCAGTTTTGAGAGTACCCAAGGAGAGGTGGGACCCAGACCTCTTGCACTAGAGGTTGTGACACATACTACATCCCTTCCACCTTCCAGCTTGAGACCTGTTTCTCTGTTTCTCAGTTTAAAACCCCTCTAAAATGGAACAGCTTATCCAGCCCAAGCTGGTCCCCATTCATGGGTGCTGCAGGAAGCCAAGGGAACTGTGTGTCATTGTGTCATCAGCAGTGGCAGTCACTTTCTGGGAATGCAAAAGCATTTCAGTAACCTGTTATTGATTGCAGACCATGTGCCAGGCATTGGACTAGGAAATTTCAGCAAGGTTGTCTTGCTTCCTGTGGGACTAACAGCTGTGTAGGAAAGACTGCCTGCCCTTTAGGAGCCTCTGAGGTTGAGGCATCTGTTCACCTACAGCAACTGCAATTCTGAGCAGAGGTTAGAAGGTTGGCGGAATTCAGCATGAGGTGGGGAAGAAGTCAGAGTGAGTTGTGACCCAGAGGAGAAAGGGAAGAGGCAATCTGAATTGGGTTTAAAGGGATGAATAGGAGTTTGCCAGTTGAAGAAGGGAGAAGGGGAACCTCTAGGTGGGAGGAAAAAAAAAACTATGAATGAAGACCAAGAGATGTCACTTGTGGGTTATTCAGAGATACATCTGATCACAGAGGGTCTTGAATGCCCTGTGAGCTATGTGGGACTTTATTCTGAAAATAGAGGGAAGACACCAAAGGTTTAAAGCTTAGGTGGGCGGTGTAGAACATGCTGTGTCAGATTAATTTTTCTGAAAGATGTTGCTGTGACTACAGAAAGTGGATGGGAGACAGGATGCCCAGTGAGAAAGGTGTTGTAGTAAGGTCAATGAGAGGACAGTGGCCTGGATAGGGTGGTAGCATGGGGCTTCATTTGTCAGAAAAGAATGATTTATGGGTGTAGGGGTGAAGGAAAGGAGGGAGTCCAGGTTCCGGGAAGTATCTGGGTGGGGCTTTTCTGAAGGCTTTGGAACTTCTGAACCTCCGAGCTAGGAACCTGAGGAGGAAAGGCTGATTCCAGGGATGGATGACGAGCTCAGGATTGGAATGTTGCCTTGGGTACTTGGGATTCATTGGAGGTGGGGAGACTCAAACGGGGGTTGAGTATGAGAATACAGTTTGGGAGAATAATCTGGGCCAGTGAAGGAGAACCAAGAGTGACATGAGAGTATGAGGAGGCATGCTCAGCAAGCAAAGACAGCCACAAACAGTGGCTTAGCGCTCTGACTTTGGTTTTGAACTGCTGGAGTTCGATGTGACCTTGAGCAAGTTGCTTAACGTCTTTGACCTAGTTTCCTCATTTGTCAAATGGGTATAATAAGATTCCATGCCTCATAGGGTTGATGGGAAGATTAAAGTTAATATGCATCAAGTGCTTAAAACAAGGCCTGGCATCTAGTGAGTAGAGGTGCTCAGTGTTATTGTGACCATCCTCAACCCAAGTGGTACAGACCCCCTTCCCATCAGCATCAGCCAGGTTTGCCATGAAAAACATGCACTGCAAAGGTTAGGGCACCTGCCCACCTCACAATTTCCCTTCTGAACTGGGATCAGCAAGGGGGTTGCCCATGTCTCTCGTCCTCATTACCATTGATGTGTTTCTCAAGTGTGTCTGACCTTCAGGTAGGCAGCTGTGAGAAGGATAAAGGTGCAGCCCTGCAGAAAAGATCTCACGTTAGGGGTGGGTGGGTGTCAGGGAATTCTGAGAAGAGGCAGCCTCTGGATGTTTAGTTCCCCATTTCCTCCCACCCTTCCTGGGCATCTCCTGATGTTCTTTCTTCCTCACTTTGCCTCCAAGATCCAGATGCGCCAGATCTCTGTATTCTCAACCTCTGAGTCTGAGAACTCTGCGTTTAGCTTCTTGGCTGTGTTTTAGCTGCTGTTTCTGGGGACTTTCCTGGTGCAGCCCCAGGGGCTGCCTGGGGTCTGCTCCAAGCAACATCTGTGTTCTAGATTTCAACGTGCTCCTGGTCCCCCTGCTGGGCCAGGTCTCATGCCTCACAAATGGCAGACAGCTCTGCTGAGTTGGTGCCCAGGGCCATCTTACCTGATTTTGGTGATGGCTGCCAGTTAAACCCTAGCTCTGGGTGCCAGCATGTGTGATCCTAACTTGGGTCCTGTAGAAATTAGGCCCCTTTGTAGTAGCCTTCTAGTTGGCCTTCTAGTCCATATAGGCGCTCTTCTGAATGTGCTTGTCCTGATTTCAGGGTTTTGACCCAGTGTGGGTCTAAAGCTTTTCTGGGAGCTGCTGTTGGTGATTATGAGGTGCAAATTGATTGCCCATTTAGGTTATTTCAGAGCTGTTTGATCTTTGGTTGATATGTTTCAAGATACTGGGTTGTCTAGAGTCCTTCCCTGGTGCTGTTCTGTGTACCTGAGGGGTTTTGCAAGGTCAGGATCCTGTATACATTTAGTCTGTTCTGAGACTCACCTCCTGGCCATTTGGGGTGCATGCCTCTTTCCTCCATGCAGGGCCTTTCGCAGTCTCTAAGCCCAAATCCCAGTGTTCCTGATGTGGCAGAGGGTGTGGCAGCAGTCTTGGGTAGCTTGGGAGACTTCCATGTTCTCTGCCTTGGACACTGCCCCTCTGCCCAGGTTTCCTGAGAAATGGCAAAGCCAACAAGTTCACATCAGGCATCATGAGGCCTGGCAGGCATCTCCAGACAAACGGGCCTTTGAGTTTGGGACATGGAAGCTGGTTTGTCTGGCTAGACCCGCCTGGCAGCCTGTGTGCTGGGAACAGCAGCCACTGGAAATGTGGAGAAATACAATGAATGGGCTGGGGGAGGGCAGCATGAGGGCATCCTGGAGTGCAGGGCCATTGGTCTTTGGAGGCTGGGTTGGTGAGGCCTGTTTTGAGTCAGTCAGGATGGCCTTTGGCCAAAGAAGGCTCCCCTGTTTTGCCAGAGGTGGGGACAATTTCCATGTGAGGAGGTCCTTGGGTGGGTGGTGAGGGTTAGTCTGGAGTTAGGAGGTTGTTCCTGGCCCCCATGACCACTGTGTTTCCTGTGTATTCATTTTGGGAGGAGCCGAGGTGGATGGCAGGGTTGTGTGAGTAGAGGTGTGAGGCTGAGAAGCCTGCTACAAGGTGCAGCCTGTGTGGAGTGCATACCTAAGGAACCCAATAGCTGAACTGTGGTGAGGTGGCAATGAGAAGATGTGGGATTGACCCACCCCTGCCCATTCCCAGGATGGTGCCCATGCTGGTGAGAGCTCAGTAATGGTTCTAGAAGGAAGAGGCTGGGCTCTGTTGCTGTGTGTGTGCCAGCGGAGGAGGCATCCAGGGGCACACCTTCATTTTAAAAATTATAGAGAAGCAGAAAGTCAAAAATAAATATTGCTCCTGAAGCTTCTTTGAAGACTGGCATGTAGGCTGGGGTGTGTTCCTCCAGGCTGGGCTATTTTCTCTGAACTCATTCATGCAATCATCTACTCATTCAACATGTGTTGACTAAGCACCTACTATGTGCCAGGCTCCCTGCTGCATGCTGGGGATGTGGAGCCAAGCCAGGCACCATGGCTCATGCTCTTACAGAGCTTAGGATATTGACTCAGTAATTGTATAAGTAGTTAAATAATCATATTTGTGGTCACTGTTCCAAGGCAAGGCCTAGGCATGTAGTCTAGGACATCATGGAAGGCTTCCCTGAGGAGGTACCATTGGATTTATTTATTTATTTATTTTTTAGAGAGAATTTTTTAATATTTATTTTTTAGTTCTCTGCGGACACAGCATCTTTGTATGTGGTGCTGAGGATCGAACCCGGGCCGCACGCATGCCAGGCGAGCGTGCTACCGCTTGAGCCACATCCCCAGCCCTGGTACCATTGGATTTAAAACCCAAGGGGTAACTGGCCAGAAGAACCATGGGTGGCTCACTTCAGGCAGTGGCATGTAGCTGGGAAAGCCTGCGAGACAGGAAAAAATATAGTATATTTGAGGATCAGAAGAGAAAGTTTGTGGCTAGCTGGTGGGAGGTGAGCACTGGTAGGTGAGACTGCAGAAGTCAGCCGGTGACTATGCAGCCCTAGGATCATGTTGAAGAATTTGGACACAATTCTGTCAAGGCCAGGGACTTATCTGTGTCGCTTACAGACATGTAGAAGAATGCCTGGCACATAGTAGATGCTCAGGGAGTATCAAGTGAACCAGAGACAGTGAAGTGAAAAGATGAGCACTTTTTACTACATGGGATGGTCCTACACCAGTGGTTCTGTAACCTGCTCTTCCCCCTGCATAAAAAAGCAAATTTTGAATGTCTGTGTCAATACATGCTCTGGTGTGATGAAATTCTTGATGTTTTCTTATCCTTTCTGTCCAGGAAGGTGCGGAGGCCCCTGTGCCCTGCCCTCAGTGCTGATTGTCCAGCAAGAGTGACTGGTGTGAGCAAGCAAAGACCTGGTGAGTGTACCCTAAGATGGGTCCAGAAGCAGGGGTACAGAGGGGTCCTGTGGGCCAACTGAGCAGCTTGGAATTTGATGCAAGGCCATGGAAAGATGTTCAGAGAGATATAATGTGATCCATTGTGCATGTGTCTGGGAAATATGGAGACCTGGACCAAGAAGAAGGGATTTGTATGTTCTTTAGGTAGACAGGACATGATATATAGCTCATCACCTGCTGTAGGTGTGAAATAGACTTCTGGGTGTCGTCCTGGGACTTAACACTAGTATCTATCTGCTGCTTTGTTCACCGTGTTTCTGTAGAGAAGACTGTCACCTGGAGGTTGTATCTGAAGGAGCAGGGCACCCAGTGTAAGATCTGGGGCATGTCTCTCCTTATGTCTTTGAGGTCTACTTCTTTCATTCTGTGAGAAACAGAGAGGGGTGGGCTGGAGTTGTAGGGAATGAGGTTGGACAGTTAGTCTGGAGTCAGCATGATGGGCCTTGGATATCAGGCTAAAGACTAGACTTTTTCTGGAGGGTGGCATGGAGGCATTGAAAGTTCTTAAGCAGAGATGCAATATCCATACATTCATCTATCCATTTGACAACCCATTCATTCATTCATTCATTCATGGAACAATGAGTGCCTGCCAGAAGATAAAGCATAAAACAAAGTACACATGATGGACATCATCAAATTTGCATTTATGTGAGCTAAAAGGTAGCGTTGGTTTGTGTGTTGGTTGGGTTGGAAAGGAGTGACCAGAGGCCAGAGGCTTGAAGCCCACTGAAGAGGTGGGAGGTAATTGGGATAGAGCAGGGCAGATTCAGACTTATTGGCAAGTTGAATATGTAGGTTGAAGAAAAGGAGCATTTGGGAAGGACACACTGGCCTGGGTGACCAGGTAGATGAAAGTGTTGTCTGTGATGTTGGGAGCCTTGGAGGAGGAAGGGGATTGAGGGAGGGTGAGTTCTGGTTGACTCTCCTGAACCTAGGGCTTGGTGGGCTAGTTCACCCTCCAACAGTTCTCTGAAGGCAGAGCCTATGCCTCTTGATCATGACCCTGCCCAACAAACAGTTCTAAATGGATGGCTGAACAAAAAGGGATGGAAGAGATGGGTCTGGCCCAGGGAGGGGAAGAAATGAGCACTTCTTGGGTATACTTGCTTGGTGAGATGGGCATGGTCAAATGGGGAGAGTAGAAATAGGGGTACTGTACCTGCCCATCCTTAAATGATGAGACCTGCCTAGAAAATCCAACCTGACTGAAAGCACAGTGTCACCAGAAGAAGTACTTGAAAGGGGAGCCATCTGTCCTTTAGAGAGGACACTTGCTGGTGGCATATCTGGGAAAAGAGGAGATGGGTGAGCTGGAGGGCTTGAATTTTAGAGGTCTGAGCTCTTTTGGTAGTAAGGAAAGCTGATTTGAGATCCTGGGGCCCAAGAATCAGCTAATACAAGACTTAAGCCAGGTTAGGGCTGCCTTGGGTCTACAGCTTGGTGGGGGATATTCTTAGGGAACTTGCTTCTGAGGCAGGGGCCAGTCAGGCCCTAGGCTGAATTAGCAAAGGAGTTTGCCATCCATATCAGGATTTCTCAACCCTCAGCATTGTTGACATTTTGAACCAAATAATTCTTAGTTGTGGGGCTAGCCTGCCATTGTAGGATGTCTAGCAGCACACTGGTTTTTTCCTGTTAGATGCAAGTAACATACCACATACCCCCACCCTGAGTGGTTGTTTTTTTTTTTTTTTTTTTTTTGCAGGGGATTGAACCCAAGGGCACTTAACCTCTGAGTCACATCCCCAGCCCTTTTAAAAAATATATATTTCAACTAGAGACAGGGGCTCACTGAGTTGTTGAGGGCCTTGCTGAGTTGCTGGGGCTGGCTTTGAACTCTTAATCCTCCTGCTTCAATCTCCCTAACTGTTAAGATCATAGGCGTGAGCCACGGTACCCAGCCCACCCTTAGTCGTCTTCTTCTTTTTTTTTTTTTTTTATATATATATTTTTTTAGTTGTAGATGGACAAATATCTTTATTTATTTTTATGTGATGCTGAGGATTGAACCCAGTTCCTCACACGTGCAAGGCAAGTACTCTACCAAATAAGCCACAACCCCATCACCCGCCGACCCTTAGTCTTGATAATAAAAATATCTCCAGACATTGCCTAATGTCTTGTGGGGCCAGAGTCACCCTGGATTGAGAACCACTGGTCTAGACTTCTTGGTGTATTCACTATGTTTACAAACCTGGAAAACCGGGGGGATCAGTTGGGGAGAATGTACAATGATGGTTCACTTGAGCTGAGTTCTGGAGGGTGAGTGAGTGGCTAGGGCAGAAGGGCATCTTTTCCAATAAAGAACAGTAAGCACAGAGGCCTGGAGGCAGCAGAGTTGGTGAGCATTAATCCAGGGGGTCCCCAGAGGAAAGGAGCAGTAACTGTAGGAAGGTGCCTCTGTTGGACCCCTCTGCCACCTCAGAGATTCAGCTCCTCCTCCTAATCACTCCCTTCACTCCCCAGAGCAGCTGAGGGCTGCAGGAGACAAGCTGAGGGCCTCAAGAAGACAGGAGTCTTCAGTGAAGCTGGGGGAGCCCCAGTTCTAACAGGGCAGGGACTGTTCCTGACTATACTCAAAGACTCTGGCCACCATTGACTATAGGAGTGAAGGCATTCCTGGCCTCCGCCTGCTGTTCACCTCCTTCCGTGGGGCAGGGGTCGGGTTGTGACTAAGGCAGAGATTTATTCCTGTCATAATCCAGTGGTTGGTTTGGTAAGAGTTGGAAACATGTTGGTTTTCCCTTCCCAAGTGTAACAGGCCTGTTTCCGCCTCCGTGGCCGCTGCTGCAGTGCCACGCGGTGAACTGTCCAGGACATGACAAAAGGGCTCGGTTAGCTGCCCGTCACTGGTTAGAAGATGAACGGCTCCCAGCTCTCCCTGCCCAATGAGTATGTCTCATTGCCCACGTGCTGGCCTATCCCCTTGGCTGGCCACTGTGTGAGGCCCTGGATACCCCTTCTTTGCCCCTGCTTCCTGGAACCCAGGGTCCTGGCCTGGGAAGGAGGGGTGGGAGAGGACTTACGAACAGGTGGTATTTGAAGACTAATTAATATTTGTGAATAATAACACGTGCCCAAGGGAAGCAACTCAATCTGTATGTACATATTCATGAGGGGGCCTCAGGAATGATCCCAGCTGTTCTCCAGCCAGGAACCCCTCCATCCTGGCATCACATGGTCCCTCAGGCCCCCTCAGGGGCTGGCAGGGTGGGGTGTTAGGGTGGACCACATGGAAGTGACATGGCCTCTGTGTAACATGCATTTTCCGTGACGTTTGTCTGAGTCTGTGGCTTGGCATAGTATCTCCTTCCTCCTTTTCTCTCAGAGCCGCAATTCCCAGGTTCTTTGGTTTCATAAACCAGTACAGTTTCCAAAAGTACTTGAGGGCCAGACAACCAAATTGGTTAGCAATTTTTTATTTTGCTAAGTAAGGACATTACAAAAAAAAAAAAAAAACAATTGCTATCTGCTATCCCCATCATTTCATATAAGAAAGGACATTTTAGCACCAAGGACAAAATTTGAGAATAAAGGACAGTTCTTCCTAAGAAAGGGCAGTTGGCAGCTTTACACTGATGTAGCAAAGAAAAAAGATATATTAAAACCATTCTGAATGTAGAAAAATTGCATCCAATTATATTCTATAATATCACAGGGCATGTAATTGTTTTCCTGCCCAAGTATGTCGGTGTGGTAGAACTGATGGTCCACAGTGCAGTTCACAGATGAGCTTGAGTGCCCAAGGGTTTGGGCCTCGTTTTTATCTGAGTCGTTGGAAGCTGTGCTGGTGAAGTAGACACCCTGCTCTGAGCACATGAGGTTCTCGATGACCCAGCAAAGCTACCAGCAGTCCTGCCTACCCACTCTCCCACCTTCTCCCTGCAGGTAACCCTGAGACTGGTGTAGAGGCAGAGCCAAGCCCAAGGCCAGGCCTGGGGGTGTAGGGCTGCTCTGCTCTGATGAAGGAGGTCCTAGAGCTGGGAGCAGCCTGAGTTGCTTCACACTGGGTTCAGGCTCTCGGTCGGAGTCTGGGGGCAGAAGCAGTTTGCTCGTGCTGGAAGCTGCTGACGGGGAGGCCTTAGTTCTGACAACTCTGAGAATGTGTACATGTTTTGTGTGTCCCTTGGGTCTCGCCATCTCTCTGGGTGTCCATGGACCCCTGGGAGAAGCTCTCTGGGGAGGAAACATCTTTGATTTCAATTTCTCCACCTTTGCCAATTCCACTTTGGGGATTTGAACAAAGTGTTCTGAGCACCCAGTTTAGATACACAGAGGGTCTCTGAGACCCCAAGTGAGAGCCACTTGTCTTTTCACATTGGGGATGGAGCTACCAGAGGCTCAGGTTTTCTAACACCCATGGCCTGACCCTCACCCAAGATTATACCACATCAGTGTCTGTTCTGTGAATAATACTCCATGATAGCTGCACTGGTGGAGCCTCATGCCCCTCTAATATAGGTGCTAGGGGATGACCCACCACCTTGGTGTCTTTTTTTTTTTTTTTTAATATTTATTTCTCAGTTCTCGGCGGACACAACATCTTTGTTGGTATGTGGTGCTGGGGATCGAACCCGGGCCGCACGCATGCCAGACGAGCGCGCTACCGCCTGAGCCACATTCCCAGCCCACCTTGGTGTCTTTAACCGGGAGTCACACCCCTGCAATGCCCTTACCTGGCAGTTACATCTTAACGTGTCTGTACTCTCTACATGTACCCACATGATGTCTCTACCAGATGGCTACTTCCATGATGTCTGCATCTGGGAATACAGTGCTGTGAGTGCTCCACTAAGGCAGCTCCAGCTAGCTACAGGGGATTAAACTTTTCTGATCATTGTACGAGGGAGTTGCATCCCATGATAACTGATGTGCATTAGTACCTTGTAGTGTGTGTCATGTTCAGCTTCATATTTGTACCAGGGAGATGCCCCAGTACTTGTGTTGGAAGTTATGTTACGTTCCTTTGGTGTCTCCTGGGGGGTTCCATGCCTGGAATGCTTGTGCCTGGGAGTTAGCCTCTGACTTTTGCATTGTCACACTCCATGATGACTGTCCTAGACCCCTCTACACCTGCCCTTTGGTGTGATGACCTGTTAAGTTGTAAATCCATGATACCTGTAACATAGCCAGGGGTTGGCCTGTGCCCCATGTTGACCTGGCTGGGCAGTTTACCACCTGATGTCTTCTGGGAATTTGGATTCTATTTGGCTATACCGTGGCATCACAGTGCTGTGATGACCACACCCAGACAGGACCTTGGTGAGGTGTTACCTCCATCCCAACACAGTTCTGCAGGGCATCATAGTGGTCTCAGCCACCTGGGCTCTGTGATCTCTGAGCAGGACCCCCACTTGGTGAAAATGGGGCTGGACACTCATGATGCCCCCTTCAACTTTATTGCTTTTGCTGCTGAGTTCCTAACTCAGAGTTTTGGTGAGATTCTGGGTCAGGGCTCATCTCTCCCCTTCCTTCCCCTTTGTGTTATCCCCTGCTTTCACAGTCTCACCGGCTTTGTTAAGTACCTGCCTTCTGACCTTTTGACTGTCCCAGTTGAGAGAAGGGCTCAAGTTCTAGGAAGAGTTCAAGTTCTTTGAGCCCTGTCCTTCCTGTTCACTTGACACCTTGCCAGTTTTATTACCATTGTAAGTCACAGGCATGGGTCTGATCGTGACCCCCCCACCAGAGTCCATGGGTGCCACTATGAGTTCCCAAGATGTGTTCACTGCCACTCATTCCCCCATTATACCCTGTTGGATTTTCAGATCATTAATGAGGGACTGACCACATACCAGCCCCTGCCCAGGGCGAGGTGTGAGCAGAACCCGGGGCACTGCTGCACATTTCCAGGCAGGGGATGTGGGAGAGAGACCCTTGGGACCTCTCAACCAGGGCTGAGGAATGAAAGCAGGGTGTCTTCCAAGATGGTATGACCACAAGGAAGCCTTTACACAGGTTCCTACAGAGTGGGGAGGGCACCCAGGCAAGGAGCTGGTGAGCAAAGCCCTGGGGGCAGTCAGCGTCCCAACACAGTCCCTCAGCCTCCCCACTCTCATCTGCTTTGAGCTTCTGGGGCAAAAGAAGAGGAGGCATGGGGGTTAGATTATAGGGTCTCACACACCCGTTCCTGGCCACTAAAGCTGCCCTGTGATTTCTCTTTGGGGTGGGAAGGTGCCATGGGAATTAGGTAGGATGAGGGTGGCCAGGCAGGGCAGCTGCAGCTTGTGAAGAGCAGTCCTGGCGAGCCCTGGCAGGTTGTGGCTTTGGCTAAGAGCCTCTGGTACCTGGAGCCATCTGCTGCTAACAAGTCTGTGTTCTGGAGCCTGTGCTCAGCATGTGGGTGTCCGGCCTCTTGCCTCTGCCTCCCTCCCTGCTGGGGAGAGGATAGACAATAGGATATCCCCAGGCCTGTGGGTCTGCCTAGCTCTTCACCACTCCCTCTTGTACTGCCTTGTCTTTGTCCAGTCTATGTGCCTACCAGTATGTCTTTCTGATCTCATTTCCCTGTCCCCTTATTGGGTTGAGTTGGAAGTTCAAAATCCCTGTACATCCTCCAGTCTCAGCATCTCCTCTTCCTCCTTCTTGGGTTAGAAAATGCCCTAATAGCCTTCTGCACTCCCTCTATAGCATGACTGGTGGGTTATCCTTGTCAGCACTGGGGTTTCAGGAAGGAGCTTGGGTGATCATTGCCCAGTCCGAGGTGCGTCTGTGAACTAGGCTTTGGTGGGTAGTGAGGATGAGTAGGGACCAGGAGGCAGCATGGGTAGACAGTAGGGACATTGATGAATACCAGCTAAGTGGCTTTGCTTTTCTCTTCATATAGGTGGATTCTCCTGGATTGCAGCTGGCTGTGGAGCTAGAGCCCTGGATGGCCCTTGAGCCAACCCCAGGGAGGACGATGGTGCCCCTTGTACCCGCGCTGGTGATGCTTGGTTTGGTGGCAGGTGCCCATGGCGACAGTAAGTCTGACCCCTCAAGGTTCATATCTCCAGGTTGAAAGGTGATATACCTCCTAGCAGGTCTCTGGAATGAGACAAGACCAGCTTCTAGGAGAACAGGATGGCCAGATACCTCTCTAGACCCTCTGTCCTAGAGAGAGACCCCTGCTTGGAGAACCTCTAAGATGTACCTGGCTCCTGCTGCTTCCTGGGAGCACTCTGTAGAGTGCCCATGTATCCCTTAGGCACCATGGGGTGGGGCGTGTCTAAGCGTGATTCTGTTTTATGGGGCCAGGGTGAGACATGTCTTGGATTCATGTGGTCTTTGTGTGATGTGCCCAGGCATGCGCTGTGTCCACCACAGCAGATATGTGTAGAGGTGCAGTGTGAGCCATGTCTGGGATCAGTGTAGAAGGTGGGGACAGCCAAGGAGTGTGAATGGGATGCCAAGTGTCTCTTCAGGTCCCAGGAAGGACTTAGAAGCCAGAGCCACCCAAAGCTTTTCCCCTGGGCTAGGCCCTCAGGATCCAAATGTGGAAGTGCTGAGCTCCTCCTCCCCTTTGTACTAGGGATCTTCCAGGCAAAGGGCATCTCTCTTCCCCAAGCCCCTCAGCCCTGGAAACTGGGGGAGGATTTGCTACTTGGCCAGCAGGAAGCTGAGCTCCACCATCCTTCTGTGTGTGTGTGTGTGTGTGTGTGTGTGTGTGTGTGTGTGTTGGGGGGGAATTTGTCCCCTATTACCCAGGTCCAGCTCTGAACTTTGGTCCCTTTCTTGCTGCTGCCCTTCCCCCTGCCTGGCACTACAGACTGGCCGCAGCCCGCCCCGTCACCATGGTTACCACTGCTTGGTTACTGGTGGGAGGCGGAGCACAGGGCAAGCTTATCCAATCTGCAGGCTGGGGGGAGGGGCGAGGTCGGAGCCAAGGTCCCTGGGGAAAGAGGCCGCTCCCAGCCTGTCCTGAGCCCAGAGGCAGTCCAGGGCCAAATCATGGGTCAGCGGGCCATAGGGTTCTCCCACCAGCTCCAAGTCTTTGGTCACAGATCTTGCCCCTTGTCTCACCAGGGCTCTTTCTCCTAATGGCTCATTAATTATTCAGTAACTGATCCTGGAGGGGGGTGACACTGGAGCACCCCGCCCTTTGTCCTCAGAGGCAGGGCCCTAGGTGGAAGCTAGAAGGGAAAGGGGAAGGGGCAGGCATTCTTCCTGAGAGGTGAGGGTAAGGGGTAACAGGAGTTCTGAGTTGCTGGCCAGGAAAGGGCTGGGCAAGGAGAGAAGGGTTAAGGTCTAGACCGGAAGAAGTCAAGTGGGAAATCAGCTGGCAGTGGAGGCATCTACAGGCTTGGCTGGGACGGGTGGGAAAGAGCTTGAGCCTGCAGGGGCAGGTTGGGGTAGAAGACCTCATCAGGTATGACTCCACTGTTGGCAGGGAAGTGAAGGCTTGTCCAGGTGTGGTCAGCAGCCCTTGGATGTTGATGGACTGTGCTTTTTCTCCGATCCCACCCCAGACTCTCACCATCAGAAAGGGCAGGGGTCAAGGGATGGATACCCAGGTGGACTCTAAGAAACAAATGGGTCTTGAGAACAACTGCCTCTCCGCTCTTGCCTCAGACTCAACATGCTCCAGCCTGCACCCCTCACTCCTACTCCCCACCTGCTTCCCATCTTCACTCTCCCTGTGAATGGCATTACCACCCACCCGGTCACCAAGTCGGAAACCTGGGCCTCCTCCCAGCTTCCTCCCTCTCTCATATCCCACATATAATCCATCACCAAGTTCTTTCTACCTTCTGAATATCTTTGGAATGCATCCACTTCTCTCTCTCCACCGCCTTCATCCAAGCCACCCTCGGCTCTTGCTTGGGCTTCAGCAGGCAACAGCCTCCTGATGATTTTTCTACCTCTGGTCTCTTTCCTAGTAATCATTCTCCATTCCAAAGTCAGTTATGTTGTAAAAGGGACATGCATCAATCATTCCTCAGTTTAAACTCCTTTGTTCCCCTCCCCAATTGTCTAGGGTCTTAAACTTTTTAAAATAGGCCTCTACCAGCCTCATCCATATCCCTACCATGCTGACTTCTCTCTGTTCCTTACATGGTCTCTGTGTCCAGGCCTGCTTCCTTCCTTCTGCTTCCTCTGCTTGGATCACTTTCTCCCTGACCTTTATCTGACCAGTTACAACTCAGCCTGGAGCCATCACTTCTTTCAGGAACCTGGGTGGAGTGCTGCTTCTCTGTACTCTCCTCTTAGCGTGCAGTAATGGCGATCTGCTTCAGATCTGTCTATCCCCCCAGACTGTGAGTCCTGGGAGTCCAGCTCTGGTCCTTGCCTATAGAGAGTGGATACGAGAAGGACTAGAACAGTTCTGAACCCCCAATAGGAATTGGTAGAGGGGCGAGTGGAACAGTTTTTCACAGACTTCCAGGAATCTCTTTTTTGGTTCCTTAGCGACCAGAACCCAGAGACCAGGGTATTGAATGTAGGAATCAGCTGAGGAAACTGAAATCCTGCTTTGCCAAGTGGGGAGGGGGTGGTTCAGGTGACAAGATCTGAGTTCTCTTCCTAGGCAGAGTGCCTTGGGGCAGAAGCCTGGGCTGGGGACTGTGATAACCCAGCCTGGGAGTCAGGGTCTGGCCTACTGGCCTGCCTTAAACTGCACACACTCTTGGATCTCTCCCCTCACAGTAGCCAGGCTGGGGCTGAGGTTGAAAGATTTCAACTAGGGGCAAGTAGCCAGACACAGACAGGGCTGCTGCAGAAGGTAGAGCGGGTGCCCCAGAGAATTGACGACCAGAGCAGTGAAGCGCAGAGCGGACAAATGTGTTTCTATAGGCCTCTTAACGAGACAAATGAATGGGGGCCCTGGCCTCGGAGAGGAGAGGAGGGAAGTGGGGTGGAGAAGCAGCTGCCAAGAGTTAGCCTCGCAGCCCGGCATCGATGCTGAGTCAGCTCCAATGGGAATATGGGCTTGGGAGGCAGGATCCCCTCTCAGGGCAACTTCCCCAGCCCAGGACTTGGTGGCTTCTAGGGAGAGGAAGCCTTTGGGGCCAGAAGTAGTCCTGACTGAGAGCAGAAGCCCTTATGTGTGTGCCAGGGGCCAGGATGGGAAGAATCCACAGTCTTGCCCTTGGACAAGACCCACAGTGTCGGGGCACAGGCTTGTGAGCAAACCGTTTCACCACAGGCACAGGTGGGAGCAATGCTGTTACAGATGATGACTTAAGTATCTTGGGAGAGGTGATGGGAGGCTTCCTGGAAAGGGGTTAGTGGGCATTTGCTCAGAGCAGGTATTGCATAATGAAGTGAAAAGAGGGGTGTGTGGAACAGGTGAGCCCCTGGGCTTCTCTGAGGAGCTCATGGCAGCCAGAGTGAGAACTGCAGACAGCAAGGGACAGAGGCAGGGTCCCAGGACCAGGTGCGAGCAGGGCCCTAGAATCACTGGAGCTCAGAACAGGATGCCTCATGGCTGGAGGGGCATGTGATATGCGGGATTTGCAGATACAGGTGGGCAAGCAGCTAAGGGTGTGTCTGTTTTGTGATTTCCCCTCCCCCAGAGCCTGCAAAGCTGGAAATGGTAGGGTGCTACACACAGTTCTGCAGTGCCTTCCCCTTTGTGCTTATGGGTGGCCTGTCTAGACTCTGCCCTCCGCAACTTCCAGCAAAATGCTTTCTCTCTCTGGGCCTGTTTTCCTATTGCACAATAGGGATAATCACTCCTACCTGGAAGGGTTAACTGAGGTCACTTAGCATCTAGTAAGTGCTCCCCCTGTTGAAGGCCATGACCTGGGGCTCAAGGAGTGGCTCCTAGAACCAGGAGTGGGCTTCCCCCAGAGGGCATCAGGAGCAGTCACAGGAGCTCATTATGAGTCCTCAGCCCATTAAGTAGTTCAGGGCCTTGGAAATCACCTCTCCAGGAACTCTCCCTGCCCTTGCAGTCCTTCGCTGCTGCTGTGTCTGCCCTCTCCTTCCGATGCTGTGTATTTGTGCTCCCCAGGGAAGGCACAAAATAGCAGTCAGTCTCCCAGTGGAGGAGCCTTGGAGGTGGCCCAGTTTGGCTATCCCTGGAATTGGACTACTGCGGCTTCCCTGGGGGCTGTGCCTTCCCCATCCGGGGCCAGTTTCTTTCTTAGGTCACTTTCTTCCACCTTGCACCTAAGCATATCTCTGAGAGCTGCTACTCAAAGAGCTGTGCTGCTCATGACCCTGTGTGGTAGAGGGGAACCACACTCTGATTGGGTGTCAGACTGGGTGGCAGTGGGTAACTGGCAGAAAATCTCTCCTGGTGTGTTCATACAACCCCCTGTTGACCCAGTCTCAAAACTTTCAGACCATCACTGAACACCGGGGCAGAGCCTGGTTTTATCTGCCTGCCTGGGGAGCTGACCAGTTGCTGCAGTGAGATCCATGGCAGGATGGGAAATCTCACTGTGGGACTCCCAGAGCCTCTGGGAGGGAGAATAGGATGGGACTCCACCAAGGGGCAAGGCACACCAAAGGCAAGGAGGTGCCTGTGGGCTTGGCAGGTCAGGGCAAGCCTGGTTGGTGGGTGGTAAGACAGGAGAGTTCTAGCTGTGTTCTCAGCGTAGTGCACGGCCTGCTGTAGGTGCTCGAGATACTGTTGAAGACAAAAAGGCTGAGGCTGCAGAGGGTCACGTGAACAAGCGTGGGGAAGGGTGTGAGGAGACAGTGTTGTAGATGAGAGCTGTGGGCTGACTGTGCTCCCCAAAGGTCCTCTAGGGAACAAAAAGGGCAAGGTCTTAATGGGGCTCTGGGACCGGAGGGTCCTGTGGGTGGGGAGGGGGATTGGCAGGGAGAGTCCTAGACAAAGGGAGGGACCTGCCTGCCAGCCCCAGGGCGGCACTGGGCTGGGGCTGCCCTGCCAGTCTGGCCCTGGCGCCCGGGGAGGGCGCTGGCTCCCCTCCAGCCTCCAAGGGAGGGGAGTAGTTCTGCCTCTTGCATGGCCGCAGGCCTTGGGCACAGTCCAGCCTCCACACAGCTCTTTCCCTCCTGGCTGCTAGTGACCCTACCTGGCTCACCTCTTCAGTGCCTCAGCTCTTTGTTTGGTGAGGAGGCTCCGCCCTCACAGTCCTAGTCGGCACTGGCCCTTCTGGTTTAGCAGGTTCCAGACTTGGTTTCGTTGGAGACACGTTGAGGCAGGAGCTGGGATGGGAGTTCCTCTCCCTTGCCAGAGAGGGCAGGTGTGTGTGAGGGGCCACAGTGTCTCCTCTCCTCTCGAGTTATTCCTTCCTGCCCCATTCTGCACTCCTGTGTGCCAGGAACTGGGTCAGACAGACACTGGGATAGGGTAGGAAACAGGACAGGCATGGGATCTGCCCAGCCCAGGCTATGTTCCAGGGGAAGCAGCTATTAAACACCAAAAATGTCAAAAAAGTAATAGCCCCATACATAAGCAGTAGTAAACCATGAGCAGAAGTCAGGACCTCATACACGTGCACAAACTGGGCAGTGCTGTGGGGGACAGTGGAGCCTAGAACCAGGGGCTGAGATAATTGGGCACAGCTAGGGCTGTTCTTTGGCTGCTGAACAGAGATTAGAAGAGCTGGGTGCCAAGGAGGGTTGCCAGCTTGAAGCCAGTGGGGTCTCTGGTCAAAGGAAGATGACAGCTGCACCAAGGCAGTGGCAGTGCAGGTGGAGAGCTGTGGGGAGGGGTCAACAAACAGTCCAGTGGCGCCTAAGGGGATCCTAGCCCAGAGAGGACCCATCTGAGAGGAGCAGCAAACAGTGACTGTGTGACCTTGCGCAAGTAACTTGACTTCTCTGAGCCTGTGAACTGATAATAATGATAAAAGATTTTTAAAAGAAATAAAGTACCTGGTGCAAAGTAAGTGCTTAGTGAAAGACTGGTACTCCCCCAGGGTCCAAGCCTGAGTTCATGAGCACTGAGCAGGTGGTCTTGAAAGGTCATTTCTCATGGCATTAGCCCTTCCTAGAGGTATTCATTGGCCTGATTAATAGGAAATGGATCTGCCGTCAGGATTAACGGGGCATTGCAACATCTTAATGAGCCAGGTTTCTCTGGGCTTGTGATGCTGGTCAGTGGGATTCATAGGGATAGGGGCTGTAGGTTGGCCGTGGTGTGTGTGCCTGGGTGACATGGGTGTGGTAGTATGGTGTCTGATCCCCTTCCTTTCTCCCCCTTCCCTGCCTCCTGTGGAGGAGGACCTCAGGGAGCTGCCCAGGCTGTTGGAAGGCATTACACAAGCCAGTGGGGTTGGGGTGGGGAGGGGCAGGTTTACAGGAAGCATTCACCTGGGAAGACATCCAGAGACACTTAGGAGCTGGAATGTCTGGGCCTTTGGGGCTGCTGGTATGTGAGGGCCAGGATGGGGGAGTCACGGTTCCTGGCCCAGGCCTGGGGTGGATAGAGGTGCCATCATCGAGATGGAGAGCAAGCAGGGTGGGACAGTGTTGGGGAAGGCTAGGGCTCATCCTGAGGACACCTCTCTGACATGCCTTGTCCCTGAGCTTGGAGATATGAGGGTGGAGACGGAAGCAGGAACCCAGATGCCGGAGTTCAGATCGCACTCTACCGCCTACCAGCTGTGTCATGTTGGACAAATCCTTTAACCTGTCTGTACCTCGATTTTCTTTTCTATAAACAGTAATTATAGCACCCACCTCACAGGCTTCAAAGGGTTAATAAGCGTTCAGCTCTCTGAACAGTGCCTGGCACATATTAAGCACTACATAAAGGTTAGGTGTCATTACTCTTTTCTCTTTTTTGCCCTCTTACCCCCCACAACTGCCACCTGCAGTGTTTAAACCATGCCACCCATGATCACTTGCTATGTCCATCTCTTCCAGGCAAACCTATCTTTGTTAAGGTCCCTGAGGACCAGACTGGGCTATCAGGAGGGGTGGCCTCCTTCGTGTGCCAAGCCGCAGGGGAACCCAAGCCTCGCATCACTTGGATGAAGAAGGGGAAGAAAGTTAGCTCCCAGCGCTTCGAGGTGCGTCCTCTGGGATGAGGTGCAGGCAGGACTCAGTGTCTGTCTACACCTTTCAGTTTGGTCCTACACCTACTCTTCTTAGTCTCCCTCCCTATGGGTCTTCTGGAGGTGTGAGCAAGATCAACCCTGAGCAGGCCTCCATGTCCCCAGCAGGCTGTGACCACTTGTCTGTTCTCTAACAGGTAATTGAGTTTGATGATGGGGCAGGGTCAGTGCTACGGATCCAGCCATTACGGGTGCAGCGGGATGAGGCCATCTATGAATGCACCGCCACCAACAGTGTGGGCGAGATCAACACCAGTGCCAAGCTCTCAGTACTTGAAGGTATGTGCTGGGAGGGATGTGGCATGGTGGGTGGGTGGGCTGGGGTGTGAGGAAAGCCAGCCCTCCCTGGCCCTGCCATGCGTCCATGGGCATTTGGCAGAAAGGAGTGCTGGCCACCTTGGGTGGGTGAACAGGCCTGGATCACTGGCTTAAGCTGGACCCAACTGTGTGCGTGGTACATTGTATCCTCCTGCTGAACCACGTCAGTGGAGTGGGGTTCTGATTGAGGTGTGGAATTGTAGTTGTGGGTTTTGTGGCTATGGCCACAGATGTGATTTTCATTTGGAGCCTGGCTGTAGGTGTCAGGTATGTTCCTATTATCCCTGTGAGCAAGGTCCCAGGCTGGGGACTGGGGCTCTGTATGTGCATTTCAGTGTCTTCTCTTACTTGGTGGCTCCTCCATTCATTCACAAACTCCCCAGACTGCCTGAAGTCCAGAAGCCCACCCTACTGAAGGCTTCCTTTGAGATGCTCAGTGTCCAATGAGTTCTGTAGGGACAGCCCAGAGGGCTGACTGGAGTGAGGAAGAGGGACTCTGAGCCGAATCTCAGAGCGAAATTGGGGGAGCAGTTGGCAGCAAGGCCTGTGCCAAGGCCCAGTGGTGAAAGAGAATAGAGAACTCTGAGAGGTTGAGGTTCAGATTGGGTTTTGGGGGAGGTTTTTTAGAGGGGACAGGGATCGGAAGCTGGAGAGCACAGGAAGATGGGGGAAAGCCATGAGTCGAGTTTGGCGGGAAGATCACACTGGGTCAAGCTAAGAAATGAACACTTTCTTGGGAACATAGGAAGCCACACTGGGGTAGGCAGTGACATGATTAGACCTTAACCACGTGATTTTATCAGTCTGAATATGTCTGTATGTACATTTGCAAAAGACAGCATTGTTTTCTTTTTTAAATGCAATACTTGTTTACTTTTAAAAAATTGAAAACTATAGAATAGTACACAGGAAGAAATAAAAGTCACTCATTATCCTACCTCTACAATTATTGGTTATTTCCTTGAGGCTCATTTTCTGTATGTGCATATATGTTTTATGTGTATAAATAGAAAAGGGATCATATGCTGCCCAATGATTTGTAAGTTTGTAGACTTCTTTGTTCCTTTTTCATTTATTCTTTCTTTTCTCTTCTTTCTTTTTTTCTTTTTATTATGGGTTTGAACCCAGGTGTCACACATGCTAAGCAAGTGCTCTGACACTAAACTAAATCCCCAGCCCTTGCTTAAAAAAAAAAAATTATAAATACTTTCCTTGTCATTGAGTATTCTTCTGTGTCATTATTTTTAATGACTGTGGTAAGCTGTCACATAGAAGTACCCTAATTTATTTAGCTGTTCTTTTATTGTTAACACACATGTTGTTCCCACCTCTTTTCTTTTATAAATAAGGTGTCATAGATGGGGGCAGGGATAAAGGTGTTCACTCTCCTGATGATTTCCTTATTCCAGGTGAGGTCAAGGGACACATGCATTTTTAAGCTTTTAATATTTCTAGAAGATTTTATCAGTTTATACTCCTGCCAAGCAGGGCATAAGAGGGCCTCTTTTTTTTTTTTTTTTTTTTTTTCACATCTTCACCAGCATTGGGAATTACCATTAAAAAAAAAAAATCTTTGCCAAGTTAATAGGCAAAAAATAGCATCTCAATTTAATTTGCATTTCTTTGATTACAAGAGCAGTTAAACATCTTTTCACATTGGCCATTTTTACACTGTGGCTTTATGTAGTCACACGTGCATCCATTCAGCAAGTTTTGTATATGTGTGTCTTGTGTGAATCAATGGGTTCTACAGCCCTTCGGTAGGCCCTCCAGCTTAGAGGGACCATACAAGACAATGGACCATCTACTCACTGAGTGACCTTGGACCAATGACTGTGGCCCTGAGCCTCATTTGCTCCACCTGTAAGCAAGGCTCTAATACCCACTGTCCAGGCAGGTTTGAAGGATTAAATAGAATGTGGTTAAATACTTCCCAGGACTCCAGTGTGAATGGTAACTGCTATTGGGCTGGAAGTCGCAAGTTCTGAAGCCTAGGCACATAGGCTGATGGCACTTGGTTTCTGTGCTTCCTGGCATCATCTGGATGGTGCTGTCCCTAATATTCCTTCTATCCAGAAGTCTTGTGTGGCAGGGGCTCAGAGGACGGGCCCTAGGCCAAGACCACTGATTGCCTAGCCACTCCTGACCTCAGTTTCCCAACTTTGACCTGGGGTAAGTATTTCAGTACTGCCTCCTCTCTCCCTCCTATTGGAATCTGTCCCATCAGGGAACCATCTGCCCTTCCTTGGCATTTGGGTGGTAGCTAAAAGGCCAGAAATCCTTTCCTGGAGGTTGTGTTCTCAGTCTTTCAGGTTGGAGAGCAGCAGGTCTACTTGTTGGTATTGAAAGAGAACCATTCCCCGGAGCCCCTAGGCTCCAGGTTTTCTACTTCAGGAGCTCTCCTGCCTCCACCACTGCCCTGGCAGCTTTATCTTTTATTAAAGGATTCAAGAGGATGAGTGTATCTTGTCAGGACCTGGAGGAGAACTCAAGCTTGCAGTGGGTCTGCTTTGGGAATGGCCTTCCTGGACACTAGTTTCTCTTTCAGGGGGTGGGGTATGTTTCTTTATTCTTATGTGGTGCTGGGAATGGAATCTAGGTTCTTGTACATGCCAATAAGCACACATTTTACCACTGAGCCTACATCCCCAGCCCAGCCCAGGATTATATTTGTACCTCTGGAACTTGGGAAGTGTCTGAGGAAGCTGGGAGAGTGGGACAACAGGTCCCTACCCTTGGAGCGGGTGGAGCTATGCGACTGAGTAAGCCCCTCCTACTCCTGAAACATAGCATCCGGAAGACAAAATGCTGACCTACAGTGTTGGTCTGTGTAACCTTGACCAGCTTTGGGCTTGGGAGAAGGGATTGCCAGGAGTTGGGGCCAGAGTGAAGCAGCCCAGACTGACTATCCCCACCAGCCCCTCCTCCTAGGAAAGCCAGGAAAATTGGGGTGCATGCAGGGACTGGATGAAAGGTTGACTAGAGTTCTTGGGGTGGGCTTAGCAGGAGAGTCAGGGCCATTCTTGGGAGGCTACCACAAGGTCTAAGGAGGGGTGGGGAGAAGCTGAAGCTGGTTTGGGGCTGAAGAATAAGGGTTGAGTCCCTGAGCCATGTCATACACTCTGCACATAGCCTGTAAACACAGAGGGAGTGTGTGCATCTGCTCACCATGAGTCGGGTGCCTAGGGAAAGTGGCTCTGGGCTGCCTGGGACCACATACCATTCAGTGCCCTCTGCCCTTGCCTCAATTCACACCTCACTCCCAGCTCCCCTCACACAGCTCCCTGCTCTGGAGTCACTCCCGCTGGGGGCACCGGCAAACCACTCCTGGCTGCCTCACCCTGCTTCCAGAGCTGGACTGCCGTTCCTGGTGTGGCTCAGCAAGTCCCAGGCAGCTGTCCTGGGTGGCCAGCCCTCTGCTTCACCACCCCGCTGGGACTGGGGTACGGGGTGGGGGTGCCCAGCTCAAGCTGGCTCGGGGTGAGCCTGTCCTGGGCTGTGACGAGTGCAGGGGCCCAGCCGCCCAGCGTTCCTGTCTGAGTGGTAATTGAAGCCATTAGCGCGCCAGCCTCTCCCTCGCCGGGTAATGGCAGGAAAAGCTCTTCTCGCTCCGCACTCTTGAGGCGGCGGCTGAATCACTCCCCCTCCAACCCGCCCGCTGCTGCCACTGAGACAGGGAATCTGACATTTTCCCTCATGTGGGAGGGGGAGTGGTGGGGGAAGGGAAGCAGGCCTTGATTCTGGGCCTTCCCATCTCCAGGAGGTGGGGGACAGTGAGGGTCTTGAGCTTAGTCTGGAGGTCATGTATTCATCCGGACAGTGGGGTCCAGGCCAGACAGAACTGTGGTCAGGAAAGTCTTAAGAGGCGGCCAGGGGTGTGGGCCCAGTCCTGGTGGCTAGGTAGGTTCTGGAGGGGTCACAGAGCTCAGGGAGGAGGAGGAAAAGAGGCTGTGGAGCAGGGTGAACTGTTTCTGACTTGTCCTGGGGGCCAGGCTCCAGGGCCCTGAGTGCAGGCAGCAGTGTTGGTCTTGTCATGGATTTGGCAGATAATGTGTTCTGAGTATGGCGTGGGGGCCCTGTGCTGTGTGTAAAGCAGTGAGGCGTGTGGTGTGGTGTGTATAGCAGGGCTGTGCCCAACAGGCCATGTACAGGCTGGGATTGTGCAGCAGGCTATGTGTGTGTGCACATGCCTGTATCAGGCAGTGGGGGAGGAGGATGGTGTGTACAGCAGGTGGTGTATACCTTATGGGCAATGTATACAGCAGGCAGTGTGAGTGTATGCACAGCAGGCAGCGTGTAGAGTGGAGTGTCTAGCAGATGGTGTGTGCTGCAGGCATTGGTGAGGGGGTGATACATAGCAGGTGGTGTTCACCTTACAAGTTGTGTGGACAGCAAGAGGGCAAGCAGCCTGAGCTGAATGTGTGGGGTCAGTCTGGTGCTGGTGGGAGGTCAGAGGTGCTATGCCTGGTCTCATTGTCTCTGGGATCCCATTGGATTTCTACTTGGATCTGTTGGTCAGCCAGGACAGCTGGACAGAGGTGGATGTAGCCTGGCATGGTTGGGCAGAATGTTTCTCAGCATCTGCAGTGTTGACTAAGCAGTTGCTATCTAGCTAGGCCAGTGGGGGAGAATGCACCAGAGAGGGACCCTGCTCAGACCTGCCTTTGGGAAGTCTTGGGACCTTCCCGTCTCCTTCCCCTTTCCTCACCAAGCCCAGGTTCCCCTCTGCCTCTGCCTACCTGGTCTTGATGTCTCCCACCTGGCCAGGACCATAGCATTCATGCCATGTGGCTCAGAAATGGAGCTGTCTCCATGGAATGCCTGGTGTTTCCTGTCTGGGGGCAGGTTCCGGGAGGGGATGACTGCCAGGCATTGAACCAGTGGCCAGGGTAGAGGCCTGTAAGTGTAGTGCTGGGCCTGTACCTCTGGGTTCTGCTGTGCCTTTTAGCCTGGCAGGCTCT